TGGTGTGGCTGTGGCGATGGGGGGTGGCTGTGGGTGTGGCTATGGGTGTGTCCAGGGGGCGTGGCCTCACCTGATGTTGTCCATCCAGGTGAACCAGGTGCGGGCGTGGCCGGGCGGGTGCAGCCTCAGGTCCCCCCTGCGCACGGCGGCCGCCGCGGCCCCGGCCAGGCCCTGGCAGCGCACGAACCACTGGGGGACAGCCCGGGGCTCCAGGACGTCCTTGGAGCGGCTGGGACAGGTGACACGGACAGGTGAGACACCTGAGTGTCACCTGAGTCACCCGAGTCACCCACAGTCAGTTCTTGTTATCGATTGTTATCGATTGTCATTGATTGTCACCACTGGGGGACAGCCCGGGGCTCCAGCACGTCCTTGGAGCGGCTGGGACAGGTGACACGGACAGGTGAGACACCTGAGTGTCACCTGAGTCACCCGAGTCACCCACAGTCAGTTATTGTTATCTATTTGTCACCCGCTGTCACCACTGGGGGACAGCCCGGGGCTCCAGCACGTCCTTGGAGCGGCTGGGGGACAGGTGAGACACCTGAGTGTCACCTGAGTCACCCACAGTCAGCCATTGTCACCTGAGTGTCACCTGTCCTCACCTGCAGATGGGCACCACCATGGGGTTCTCGGTGACCCCCCGGAACAGCCCCCGCTCCTTCAGGGTCTGCAGCAGCGCCGCGCGCGCCGTGAACCGCGGCATGCCCTGGGGAGTGACCAGAGTGACCAGTGAGTGACCACGTGAGTGACCCTGAGTGACCACTGACCAGTGAGTGACCACTGAGAGACCACAGCAGCTCAAACCCACCCAAATCCCCTTGAAATGACCCAAATCTCCCTGAAACACCCCAAAACACCCCAAAACAGCCCAAAACAGCCCAAATCCAACTGATATAATCAAAAATAAAACAAACCGCCCCAAACCTCCCCAAACTGCCCCAAACCTGCCCCAAATCACCCCAAACCTGCCCCAAATCACCCCAAATCTGCCCCAAGTGACCCCCAACAGCCCCAAAACCACCCTAAAATACATCAAACCTCCCCAAAACTGCCCCAGAACGCCCCAAACCCCCCCAAACCACCCCAAAACTGCCCCAGAACACCCCAAACCCCCCCAAACCTCCCCAAAACTGCCCCAAACCCCC